CTTTAAATGTTGTGAATACAGTTCTTTTACCAAAATAGATCCCTTTTAAAAAATATATATTTAGGGTATAAAGCATGACATTTTGATATACATAGTGCAGTGAATACCACAGTTAGGCAAAATATACTATCCATCATTGTAAGCCAGCTTTCTGTTACTATGGCCAAAATACTCAACAAAAACAACTTAGAGGACGGAAAGTTTTATTTTGTGCTTATGGTTTCAGAAGTTCAGTTCATGGTTGGCCAACTCCATTGCTCCATTGCTAGAATGAGCTTTTTAGCGAGATATTTCATATCCAAACTGTAACATTCATTCCCTGGCCCCCAAAACTCGTGTCCATCTCACAAAGCAAAATGCATTCAGTCCATCTCCAAGAGTTCCTATAATTTAACTGTTCCAGTATTGCCTAGATGTCCAAGTCCAAAGTCTCATCTGAGACTCAAGGCAAATTCTTGTCTTTTAGCTCTTGTAAAGATCAAAAGCTTGGAGCTAGAGTTGTAGCTTGGTGGTGAGCTCTTGCTTAGCATGCATGAGGCACTGGGTTCAATTGTCAACATCGCATATAAATAAATAAAAGTCCATTGACAACTGAAAAATATTTTTTAAAAAATCTAAAGCTCGTGACATATATCCCAAATACAATGGCACAGTAAACATTTTCATTCTAAGATAGAGGAAAAGGGGCTTAAAGGGAATGAGACCCAAAGATGACCAAAACTCAGTGGGGCAAAGTCTGTAGCTCCATTATCCAGCATCTGGGGTGCATGGTGGTAAGATGTGATCTTCAAGGACTTGTGAAGCCCGTTCCTACATCCTTGCTGGTTGCAGTTCACATGACCTCTCTCTTAGGTTGGTTCTAACTGCAGCCAGAAGCTTCCCTTGTGTTACTGGAATCTCTTAATCCCTGGGAGCTGCATTCAAGCTTCTGCTTCCCTCTCACAGCTTTACACATTAATCTTTCAGGCCACCTCCAGTGATTCTGACCCTACCATGCGTTGCCTGGCTTGTAGTCTTTTGAAATCTTGGTGAAAGTCTCCATGACCCTTTAACCCTAGCATTCTGTGTTCCTGCAGAACCAACACCATGTGGGTGATGTCAAGGTCCACTGCCACCTTGAACAGTAGCCAGTCCCCTTGTCCCATGGCAGCAGCATCCCAAATGCCTGGGCAGCTGAGCACTATGAAACAAAATCTGTGGAAATAACTTCCTAGCAGGGTTCCCTGCTAGGAGGAAGTTTTCTGTTTCCACACTCTTGAGTTTTTGATAGGTGTGGTCTTGTTGATTCCTGAGGTGCCCTTCAGGCATACGTCCTATCATGTCTATGCAGAGTACTTAGCTTCTCCAAAAAACTCTTCAGTAGCTGTAATTTCCTTAGCCCCAGTTCACATGGGCATCTTCTCTGGCAGTTTTCAAATCATTCCTCTCGGCTTTTCACAGTAAACCTGGTTAAAAGCCATCAGCAATACTCATACTACCACCTGAATGCTTTACTGCCTTGAAATTTCCTCTGACAGATTAATTAGTAATTCACCTTTAAATGCAGTCTCACACAAAAGTCTCAGGATATAGGCAGAATGCAGACAGATTCTTTGCCAGGTGGTAATGTGTGGCCACAAGTTCAGTTCCAAGTTGAGTCATCATTCCCCTCTGAAACCTCCTGAGCACAGTCTTTACTGTTCGCATTCCTGTAAGCATTCTGGGGAACTCCTACCTGAATTGCCCATCAGACTGTTTACAACATTCTAAGGCTTCTCCAGCCTGCTTCTTTAAACTTTCCCAAATTCCTCCAATGGGCCAGTTCCAAATGCTTGGTCAGGTACCAGTTTTTGTGTTAAGTCAGCTTTCCATTGCTGTTGACTCAAAACACATAACAAGAACAACTTAGAAGGTGAAGTTTATTTTGGGCCCAAATTTCAGAGGTTTAGTCCATGGTTGGAGGGGTGCCTCATATCCAAAGCATAAYGTGTCTGGGGTGGGGTGGATAAGAGCACCTAAAATCTTCCCTCAGGAATTTTCAGTGTACAGTATTATTAACTGTGGTCTCCTTGCTGTGTGTTAGATCTCTAGATGCTCTCATCCCATGTAACTGGCAAGTCTGTACCTTTTGACCTAATCTCTCTCCTCCCTGCCTCTGGTAACCACCAGTCTGTGTGTGTGTGTGTGTCCGTGTCCCCACCCCCTACCACATTTATTTTAAATTCCTAGTATAAATGAGACCTTGCAGTAGTTTTCTTTCTGTGTCTGGCTTATTTCTCAAAATAACTAATTAATTTTTTTTATATTTCTGAACACTTTTAGTCTAAAATTGTTGAGGTTTAGGGAATGGTTTAATGTGTGTAAGAAATACCATATTATCCAGCTAAATACCAAGATTATATTTGATAGCTTCGTACTAATGCTTTTATATATTATTGTTCATTTCTAATACTAATTTTCTGGGTAATGATTTCTTAACTCATGACCCTTGTCTGTAGATAGCTACTGGCCCAGGCACTGTTCTAGGCTTTGGAGATGCAATAGAAAACTCAATATATAAAAATATGTGATCACGTATGTTTTCCATTCCATTGGAATAGACAGGTAATGATGCAAGATAAATATATAAAATACAAATCAGGTTAGAAAGCCATTAGTACTAAGAACAAAATTACAAAATCTATCAAGGAAGGAGTAAATGGATACCTGGAGGGTTGTGTTCTGGTGATCTTTTGTCACTACTTGGTGACTTGTCAAACAACAATTTGTTTTATTATCTCTGAATTTCTGGACATGAATAAATCTCAGATGCATTGTTCTTCTTTGGGATGTCTCAGATACTGTAATCAGATGACAACTGGGGCTGGAGTCACCTGAATTCTTCTTTACTCACCATTTTGGTGTCAGGACTGGAATGCTTAGATTTAGATGTAAGAGTTAAGACTATATAACCCTTAGAAGAAAGCAGAGGAGTAAGTCATGATTTGTGTTTAGGGAGAATCATGATTTTGTTTCTTAGGACACCAAAATGGGCAACAAAAAAACAAATAAATTGGACTACATCAAAATTTAAAAATTTTGTGGTTCACTGAACATCATCAAGAAAGTGAAAACATAACTAACCCCAAAATGGTAGAAAATATTTATATGTAATAACTCGGAAAGGGCTTATATCTAGACAATATTAAATGTTCAAACAGTGTGATGTTATTCAGTTATAAAAAATAATGAAGTATTGATGCATGTTGGAATCTGGGTGAATCTTGAAAATAAGCTAAGTGATCCCACGCATGAAATGTGTGGAATGGGAAAAGGATAAAGAAATGTAAAGTAGCTTAGTGGTTGCTTAGGGTGAAGCCAGGGCAGAAAGCATAGTGACTCCAATGACTATGGGATTTAGTTTGAGAGATCAAAATATTCCATATTGTATTGTGGCAGTGGGGTTCACAGTGGGGTACGAATCCACTGTAGAGCATTGGATTTTATGCTTTAGATATGTTCATTGTATGGTATGTGAATGATATTTCAGTAAAGTTCATTTTTAAAAAGGTGATAGAGGGACTGGGGTTGTGGCTCAGTGTAAAGCGCTCGCCTAGCATGTGCGAGGCCCTGGGTTTAATCCTCAGCACCACATACAAGTAAGTAAACAAAATAAAGATATTTAAAAAATTATATATTTTTTTAAAAAAGGTGATAGCTTCATGGGCTGGAGATGCTTAGTAGACCAAAGGGAAGTAAAAAAATTTATCCTTGGAGAGATTGAAATCAGTAGCGATTATGATAGAAGTGTTGTTGGAAAGAGTGACAGTGAGCCAGGAACCAATACCTTCAAAAGGAGTAATAATTTGAAGAAGAGTTGATAATTGTATCAGTAGTGTCTGTGTTTGATGATAGACACGTAAAGCTTAGTGCTTTTGCTGTGGAGAGAGGGAGAATATTCTCAAGGTAGAAGTGAGGAACCTGAAAAATACCCATTGCGTATTTAGGGCCCAGGACACAGGAGGTTTGGCCGAGAATGCAGTGCTCTAGAGGACATGTCACTAGGGGATAGCAGACATTGCTGTAAACTTTTATGTTGTCACAGAACACTTCTGCAGTACATAAGATAACTTTCGAATACTTGGGCTTTCATTTTGGTAGCTTTTTGATTGTTACACATATAATGGAACTAGAGTCTGTTTTCTGATGATTACTTTATCCCCTCAGTGCTTTCCTCCTCAGTCTATTGCACGGTGCTGATATACAGACTGCACAGTTAGTTGATCTTCATTTGTTCAGTTTTTTGTGATAGAGAGGATGTAGATGCTTGTCCCTTTTGGCTGCCCTAAAGTAAGACTTGCAAAAACTGAAGGTGTTGCCATTTGCATCACTACTTAATCCTCTGCTGTTGTTGGCCTTAAGATTGGCTCAGTGGTAAAACAGTGTGAACGGTACACTGAAAACGTTGGAATTTTAAAAATCATACATAAAAATACAAAGGGAGTGAATTTATCACCACTATTATGTTCCAAGTACAAGTAGCTTCAAAATGATGGGACTGGTGCCATTGTGACGTTGACCATTCAGAAAAGATGCTGGTCATTGAGTTATGATAGTATTTCCTGACTGAATAAAAGCTTTGGTCCTAAACATTGCATTTACTGTTTTGTTATCAAATTTACTTTTTTCATAAGTCTTCATGGTAACTTGTACAAAATCATAGCAAATTGTTAGAGTTGAGATTCAGAAGTCATTTTATCTGGTTCTAAAATCTGTACCATGCTCACAGTTACACTTCCTTGATAAAACCCAAGGAACTTTTCTGTAAAGAAGTGAGTTCATGGGCCAGGGACGTAGAGTGCTTGTCTAGCATGTGTGTCAGCTCTGGTTCAATCCCCTGTACCACCAAAACAAGAGTGAATTTATAATAGCTGATAACTTGTATGGAAAAAGAGGTAGTTTGCCAATTTTGTAATTTTTGGAAAAATAACCTTATTTCTATCAATACCTCCTAAATGTTTTTCTTTTTTGTTTTCTATCAGGACGTCTTGCATGGCTCGTTTATTTAGTTGGGACAGTTGTAGGAGGAAGATTAACATATACCAGTACAGATGAGCACGATGCTATGGATGGAGAGTTATCCTGTAGGTAAGTATTGGTCATGTACCTACAGAAATCAAGAGTTAAGAAATTAGTCATTAAGTTAGTATTATGTGCTAAAGCATTTTGAGAAAAGTGTTAGTTTCCTTGCTCTTGCGGACAAAAACCAAGACTTAGGGGTTAAGCAATTTAAGAAGTCAAATCTCCAGTAAGTAATTTTTTTAGACATTTGTTGCAGCAGTGTGTTGAAGATGTAGGTTGCTTTTGCTCTTTAGGACCTGATAAAGCTACAAAATTGATATGTATTGGGATCATGCGAATGATGGTTCTGGGTTCCTCCTAGCACCACATAAAAACAAATAAAGGCATTGAGTCCATATACAACTAAAAAAAAAATAATTAAATAAGTTAATATTTTTAAAATACTTAGAGCATTGCCTTGCAAACAATGATGTATTATACATACACATACATCTTTAAATAAAATATAATACTGTGAACATTTAACATAGACTTAAAATATTATAAACTGTACCATAATTTAAATAGACCCTGGCTTTTGGAACTTTAGGCTCTTTCTGTTTTTCCTTATTATAAATTGCTTTCAGGTATGTTATTTCATTCATCTTTGTGTGAATTGAAAGAATTTCATTAGAGTTCATTCTGGAAAGCTGAACAGCTAGTCAAGAGAGTATGTAGCTTCTTACAGACTTGCAGTACATATGACCAGATGGCCTTCTGTACATGTTGAACAGCTCTAATGTGAAAATCCAAAATCCAGAATGCTCCAAAATCTGAAACTGARTGCCAGCATGACACAAAGTTTTAGATTTTGTTGGAGCATTTTGGATTTTGGATCTTCAGGTTAGGAATGCTTATTCCATAGTGTCTACAAAAATTACAAAATCCAAATAACCCTGAAATCTGAAATGCTTCTTTTTTTTTTTTTTGGATAAGATATACCTAGCCTATGTAAGTTTATCCTCTGAACCCAAAGGCTATGAGAGTTATCATTTTCATCAGTTTCATCAATTGAATGCCAGATAATAGGATTCTTACTGTTGTCAGTTTTATGTAACCAATGTCTTTTTTTTTGGCTGGGGAGTACAGGGGAGAGGAGCGGGGATTGAACCCCAGGATGCTTTACTACTTACTACCCCAGGATGGTTTTTTTTTTTTTAAGTTTGAAATAGGGTTTCACTAAGTTTCTGAGGAACTTGCTAAGTTGCTGAGGCTAGCCTCGAACTTGCAGTCCTCTTTTCTTAGTGTTCTGAGTTGATGGAGTGTTAGTCATGTGCATGATGCCTAGCATAAATGTTTTGTTTTAATTTATTTTTCTTCGGCTACTAGTGGTGTCAGCTAATAGTTTCTACTCCTATTTTGCCATTTATATTTGTGATTTTTTTATGTTAACTGTATTATTTATCTGATATTCTTTGGTAATTATCTTTTCTAGTTTATTTGTAATAAACTATTCAGTATAAAAGATCTCAATATTCTGCTATTCAGAATATTGGTGTTAACCAGTTAATACCAATTCCACCTTCTAGTGGTTTGAAATATCATCATATTTTATGCAAAATTCTTGTGTCTTTTTACCGGTGGTCTTCAGGAAAAGGGAGGAGCTGTGGAATGAAACTGATCAGACTGTCCTGTGTACACGTATGAATACACCACAGTGAATTCCACCTTTGTGTATATCTATAATGCACTAATTAAAAAAAAAAAAACTACAAACAACTAGAAGGAAGACTGGTAGAATTCAGGAAAGGGGACAGAAAGAGGGAGGAGGGAAGGGAAAGGGAAAGTCCTGAGGTCTAAACTGGAGTAAATTAAATTGCATGCTTCTATAGTATGTCAGAATGAGCCCCAATAATATGTATAACTGTAACGCACTAACAAATAAAAATAAATTCCTTGTGTCTTTTTCCAGGCCTTTCAATGCTATCACCCTAGTAAAGTCCTTAAAACCATTATACCTGGTTGATATTCTCTCTCATAATTATACTCAATATATTCCTAAGTGTTTAAATTATTATAATTTTGAATACAAATTTTATTTTCATTCCATACCTTTTTCAACATTTAAATTATCTTTAATAACTTTTGAACCTGAATAGACATAAATATTTTCAGTTATTTTAAAGATTTATTATTTCCTATATCAAATTGAGTTATTTGAAAATATGAATAATAAGTGTTTGAGGCTTTCTTAAAATGCTTTAGTTAATTTTTAACCAATTAAAAAATTTGCTTTTGTATCATCTTTTAAGATGGTATTACATATTTATTGAAATGGCCACTACATATTCTTTTGGTTGTAGTTTGAATTTTTGAAAAAATGCTTTTGTCACTAAGTAGGGGAGTATATACACTGTCAGTGTTTCTGAGAAAATATGTAATAGAAAATAAAGCAAATATACATTTGCAAATTAGGAAACAATCATTTTTTTCCTTAAACAGCAAACATATTTAAATAAGATTTATTTTGTATAAGCCTGCGTTACCTAGAAAACAATGTTAGGTAAAGCTTATGGGCTTTATTGAAAGTGGGCATTAATGTGCATTTTTCAGAAAGGAATRGTAGAACAGGGAAAATAGGGGAGACAGTAGAAGACAAATGCAGTCAATTCATTATTCCACATTGTGTTTTTGTGAATTCGCCTATTTGATAAATGTGTTTGTCACACCTGAGTCAGTCTGCATGGTGCCTTTGCTGTCCTGTGCAGGTGGGACAGAGTTTGCATAAAAGTCAGTCCTCTGCATTCTTGCTTCAGCTTTCATGGTCCAAACAAGTGTCCCTTTGCAGTTCAATTGKTGCCACATACGTCATATTTTCGTGCTCTTACTGTTTACCCAACTGTAGTACTACTCCGTGTTTCTAAAGAACACTGAGAAAATACCTGAGCTGGAGAAGCTTCATTCACACCCAAGTTCAATGTTAGCAAATCAACATTATATGTTAAATATGGTGTCCTTAAGCAGTAAAACAAAAAAGGTCATGATCTGTTGACAAAAATGCAGCCAGATGCTAGTAGGAACCTCAGCCTCTGTTTCCTTTAGGAACAGTGATTTAGCATTCACTGATAGAGTGTTCTCAACAACTTTACAGCACACAGCTACCATGGACTTTGACAGTCAACTGCGTAAGGCGGTGCATTACTGAGAAAACATAGTTGGTTGCTTGCTTTTTACAGGAATTTTCACCAGAGGCCACATGGAACCCTGTTCTTCAAAACAGCCCATGGTAGGGGCTACTGAGGGCAAGCAATTTGTCTGTTGGCTTCTTTCTGCAACCCCTTTCTAATGGTTTACATTTTCCACTGGGGTTTCTAATTTTCCACACTTTTTAGTTGTGTTTCATGACTTCTTTGAGGAGCTACTGGGGAAGCCAGAGTTTTCTCTTGGTCCTATGGAGTTGGGACTACAGGCTGGAACTGTGGTGGGTCTTCTTTCTCCCTTGGGGTGAGGATTTATAACTGCAGGAACTGTGAATCCTTACTGAGACTACAAGAAAGTGCCAGGGATCGGGGATGGGTGAGAGGTGGTGGTGGGGTTGACGGATATGCAGGGTGGGCTATACAAATTCAAGGTGGGGTATGTGCTAGGACTCACGCCTTGTTTAGAACAATTTAATTGTGTCTTAGAGTATTGAGTTTCTGAATTAGGATGAGCTCATATAAAACTGTAAAATATCACTTTCATATGAAGAAGTTTGAGGTGACTAGAACTATAATACTATTGGCTTCTGTATGTGGTCATGATACCTGCCCACCTCTGAGGAGGACACTGACTATTAAAAGAAGACCGCACAACTCCTGCCAAAAGTCTATGTGCTGTTTTAACATCAAAAGTTTACAATGTTATGATAATTTACAATTAAAATGGATTACTTTAGCATATTTAAATATGTTACTTTAACTTGATGATTAATACATTTGTACTCAGGCCACACAAGTCCAATTGAGTTAACCTAATTTTGCCGAACGTGAACCTCTTAAGATATTCCCAGGGTTTTGTCTTACCTGTCATGGATCCTCTCAGTTTGCTTCTTCCAGACTCTTTCTCTTTGGCTCTCTCTGCCCTTGTTGCTCTCCTCTGCTCATCTCGGAGTCACCTGTCATGGGTCACTGAAGACTCTGACCACTAGCTGATAGTTTAGTGCTTCTCTCAAACCCTGCTTCACGTGGGCAACTTGAGCTTCTTTCCTGGCAGGTCTCATTGCTCCCCCTTCATCTAGTCAGAAGCTCCAGGGCCTCCTGTGACACCAGCTGTCCCCCAGAGCATCCTCTGCTGCCCTGTTCCTTTCCTCCCTCTCCCATTGGTCCTCCTGCCCTTTGAGCCTCCCATTGTGCTCTGGCCTCAGAGGCCTTGCACTTGTACCTCTCCTGCTGGGAGGGCTTCTGGGTGTCCCTTCAGCACTCCTCACTTCCCTTAGTCTGCTCAGACATCTCCTTCAAAGTAGCCTCCTCCACATCCCCGTTCCACCAGCATTTGTGCTGTGCTGTGTTTCCCGAGGGGGTACYACCGCTCCACACTGTGGATTCCATGCAGTAGGGAAGGAAGGAGTAGGCTTTGACGATGACATTCACTACCGGATTTTAGACCCTACAGGGTACAAACTTAACCCTAGGGGAGTTTAGGGTTTTCACTAATTTGTTGAGTGACAATAAAAGAAATTGCACACTTCTGTAGATAGGTTTCACTGTCATTGATGCGCCATTTTCAGCCTCAGTCGAGCCCGCAGTGTCTCGGCATTTCTCTTTGGTTTTAGTGATTCTTGTCTTTTGGTCTCCAAACACTGAATTATTTCACGGGGATGGTCTATCCCACACGCAGGTCCAGGTCAGTGGCTTAAATGAAACTCACCTCTTCTATCTGCTCCTCACCCTGACTCCCTCCTTGTGTCTTGTCACTGTCCACTCAATGTCCACGCCTGCATCCCAAGAGTTGTCCTCAGCTTTTCCCTTTTTCCTTTCTTTAGCATCCATGCTGCCTTCTCGTTATCCCAAGGGGTCTGCTGCCGTCTTTTACCTGGGACTGGTGCTGTAGTTTTTAAATTGATTCCTTGCTGTGTCCTTTATGCAGCCAGAATAAATTCTCTAAAATATGGATCTGTTTATGTCAGTGCTTTGCTTTAACTCTGGGGTGACATCACGCTGATTTTCATGGATTTTCCTCCATGATTAAAAATCAGCGTGGTTTTTCAGGCTTTTCATGATCTGACACCTGCCTTTCTCCCTAGCCTTACCTCCCACCACTTCATAGCTATATTGAACATTTTTAGGTTTTAAATGAGCTTTTTTTTTCCCCCCTCACTATGTGGCCACATATGCTTCCTCTTTTAGTACCCTTTGCCCTGTTTCATCCCAGAATATTAGTTATCTTTGCAAATTATTTATAGCATTTATTTTAGAACTAGTTATGCTTTATTCTAATTGCTTATTTTATTGTCTTTCCTTTGATAGATTTTTGATTTCTAGAGAATTGTGTATGTATGTGTGTGTGTGTGTGTGTGTGTGTGTGTGTGTGTATCTTGCTCAGTTTGGTATTGTGAACATCTAATACACACTTGGAATTCAGTAGACCTGCAAATATTTGTTGACTTAATGAATGCTTATTAAATTGGTAATCCAGGGGAATATAAACAAGTGTTATTCAATATCCATTTCTTTGTATTTGAAATGGTGTGGATTAAAATTCTTTAAAGATTTATATTTTAATGATTTATCTTTTTTATTTCTTACAAGCTTTTTTAAAMCAAAAATAATTTAAGGTAAAGAAAAATATAGATGTAGGACTATTACATTGACATTGGGAGTGGATATTATACTTATTTGTGTGTAAAATATAAGCACTGATCTTATGCACTTGTTAGAGGTGGCTATGACTCTTTGAAGGATACCACGGCAGAGACTGCTAATTGTCCCCCATATTTCTTCTTCTCTTCATTATAGTAATAAAATACCCAAGTGTTTTGCTGGGCAAATGTCTACTCTGAATAAAGATAAGAATTACTGGCCTGTCTTGAAGGTAGATATGGTTAAGTGATTATGTTCTGCGCAGTTGGATGTTAAGTGAAAGTGCTAGATGCAATGTGTGGAGCTGAAGAAGCTGTCTTAGAGTGCAGAGTGACTGCAGGTTAGTGTACCAACAAGACAGAAGGAAACTGAGCCCTTGATGCATCACGGAGCACCAGCCAGCCTTGGACACTGCCTTGGATTTTTGCTTGAGAGAGAAATAAACATCTGTATTGCTTAASCCATTGTTGCTTTGGATTTTAGGCACTTGCAGCTGAACCTGTACAGCTACCAGAACTCCTTTGACAAATGGATCATATACCCTTCTGGGAATTCTTTCCTACTTTCCTGCTGGGAGATGTAAATCACCAGATTAATATGAGTAATAAAGGCTGGCCAACAAACTTGTCTTTTGGTTTTACATCATCCTTGGATTTGGGAATGTGTACTATAGAAAGGAAATAAAAGTAAATATGAGAAAGTACATAGAGTAAAAAAAAAAAAAAAAAAAAAAACTTGTAGAAGGGAGGTCCTACAAAGTAAAGAATTAAAAGCAAGCTATCCCTCTTTAAGTCACTTGACACGTCAACTGGATCCAGAGATGAAATTTGGTGTATGCATCTATTTTAAAATTACACCAACAATCTGCTAATTGAGCAGTACACAGACTTTAAAGTCATCTTTGTCCCTCCTCCCAAAATCAGATAAACACATCATCTTGGGAAGAAACCTAAACATGGTTACAGTGACCTACTTCTTCAGTAGGTTCCCTTTTGTAAATCTTAGCAGGGCTGAAGATAGTTCGTAAGTGAAGGGAACTTTTTTAAAGAGAGAATTTTTTTTTAATATTTATTTTTTAATTTTCGGTGGACACAACATCTTTGTATGTGGTGCTGAGGATCGTACCCAGGCCACATGCATGCCAGGCGAGCGCGCTACCACTTGAGCCATATCGCCAGCCCTGTGAAGGGAACTTTTTAAAAAGTATTTTAATATAAATACAGCAAATGATCACTTTAAAATATATTTTCTTAACACTTTGACAACATGCACTGTTTTAAAAAAATTGATACCCTGTGACCTAGACATTCTGTTTCTAGAAATCTTCATAGGGATAGATGAGAGGGCAATTGTTATGTTTCRTTTAGATATATAAATTTGTGGCTCAGCAGTAGAGCGCTCGCCTAGCATGGGCGGGACCCAGGTTCGATCCTCAGCACCACATAAAAATAAAGGCATTGTGTTGTGTCCATCTACACCTAATAAAATAAATATTTWAAAAAAATAAGTTTACATGCAAAATAAGATTATTAAATTTTGGCAGAACCTCAATATTATCAGCCATAAAAATAGTGCCTTGTAAAATTATTTAGTAATAAGTCCAAATGTGTTATAGAGATATAAATATGAAAAAATAGTAAAATACCTCAGATTCAAGTAAGATCTTGCAGTTATACAAAATCTACAAAATAAAAAAAAATTACAGTATTTTCAGCATAACAAAAAGAACAAAAACTTTTGCGTGGGGAATTTTAAAAGCGCCATAGTCAAATTTCAGATAAATGAAAAATTATTTACAGCTTAATTATAGGCAAAAAGTCTAGTTCTCTATTACGTAAAATTTTACAGAAATCATAAAGAAAACCTGGTAGGAAAAAAAAATCAACCAAAAATATGCACAAATAGGTCCCAGGAAAGGACATACATATGACTTAAAAATGAAAATGTCAACCTCATATAAGACAAATATATACTAAGCCTACACCAAAATTTTATGCCATTTAGAAATGTGTTTTATAAAAATATACGTAGAATGTATTTTCAGCATTTTTGTCACAAGAAAAATTTAAATCAACTTAGTGTTTATCAGAAGGGAATGTGTCAAAATACCATGGCACACTCCTATAATGGAACGTTGAGCAGCTGCAAAGAGAGTGAAGGAGCCTTTGTGTTTGACAGAGGACCTCCAAGACACATTGTTAAATGGAGAAAGGTAGCTCAGACCACACATAGTAGAGTGTGAGGGGGAGGGGATGTATAGCCCTTTTTCCCTTATTTGTTGGCAAGAGTATATATAGTCTTGTAAAAAGCATCCATGTTTGTAAAAACATATACTCAATGTGTTTGTATGCATTCTAGGAATTAGGTGGGTCAGGGACAGTTGTAGCTGCTTTTGTGCAAATTTATTTAGAAAAGGGTGTTGCATCCTCAGCAACTTCTGCTTCTGTCTCACAAAAAGTATTCTGATATGCTGATTTTGTTAATGCAAGTCCCTTGGCAGCCATCCAGCAGAAAATTATAAATCAGTAATTCCCAATTTTCAGTTCTAGAAATAGTTCAACAAAATTGATGTGGGTACATTAAAATGGATGGAAATCGTAATCTAGGACTTATAATTAATAATGTTATAAGTGTTATGCACTAATTCTTAGTAGTATGTACTTAGTAGTATGTGTGTATAAATTTATGTTAAGTAGTTACATGTAATATACTAAAGCTTTTAGAGGTGTTCCACATCTGGGACAACAGAACAAAATGGGTTAATAAAAGTAGGTTGTGTTGAAGAATTTCTTTTTTGAAAATTCAAGACTAAACTTTTTGTTATATTTAAGTTTTTTTCCCTAGGAAATTTAACCTTTAGTCCATTAGTGATTTTCTCGTAATAATTTCTAATAATAGTAATAAGAATTTATGATTTTTAAAATAACTAATAGTAAAATAATACTTTAGTGTTGAAAGTGTTTGATTTTATTAAAATCATCTTCTGGGTTTGTTTAGGTAAAACTTTTATGACTCATTAGAGTGATGTAACATGGGTATAGTTCTTGATATTTTAATTTACAGTCATGTGATTATAAAATAATTATTTAGAAATAGTGAAAAATAAAATGTGAAACTACACATTAAATATCATTCTTTTGTTAAAATATATGCATGTAGTTATTTATATCTGTATGTATACTATTCATTTATATGTATATGCCATGTGTTTATATGTGGAAATTTTTAGTAAAATAATGTCTATATGTTCATATACAGATTTGTATTCATGTGTATATATGTCTTAGGAAAAAAGGATTAGAAGGAATTAGAAAATAATATAATGTCTTTTTCATAGATAGGATTTCAAATGATTTTAGGACTTTTCTTTATATGCCCCACTTTTTACATTGATTATATATTTATTATAAGTATCTTAATGTTTCTTGAAGAATTTGTACTGAAGCTTCTTTTCTCTCTCTCTCTCTCCATGAAAAGAGTTTTTCAGCTTRTATCTTTAATGGATACTGGATTGCCTCGATGTTCTAATGAGAAAATAGAGCTTGCAGTTTTATGGTTCTTGGATCAATTTCGTAAAACATATGTTGGTGATCAGCTTCAAAGAACCTCAAAGGTAGGTTTTCACTACTAGAGATTTTTAAAATGTTATTGGGGGTGAAGAAAGATGCACATGTATAACAGCTGTGAACTGAATGAAATTTAATTGGTAAGTTAAACTTATTTGATGAATTGGTATTGAAATGCAATGTGAAATTAATTTGTTTTATACCTAGATTTAACATTTTCTTTGGAGATTGGCTTTCAGAGAAGTGGTAAATATTTTTTTACATGGATAATCACTATTAGCTAGGATTGTTTTAGACACTTTAATGGATTTTTGCCTTGTGTATTTCAAGATTGGGAATAAAATTTGCTCTTCAGTAATTTGGGTGTTTTTTTGACATTTATGTGGTTTTTAGTATATTCCACTCATTCCTTGACATTTTTATGTGATAAATAGTGATGATTAGGAGAATTTATGGACTTGAAAGGCTACAGTTAAGTCATGTAAATGTGGGGAGGACTGTAATATGATAATTTAAAGTTTAGCATCAGCAAATGTACACAATTTGATCGTGAGGCACATGAGAGATTATTGAGGACTTCTACTTGAGTCCTAAGTATATACTTATGAATACGCTTGCCCCTCTGTATTCATAGATGTTGTATCCACAGATTCAGCCAACTATAGATGGAAAACATTTTTTTAAAAATTGCATTTGTACTGAACACTGATCATGTACAGACTTTTTTCTTGTCATTATTCCCTACACAGTACAGTGTAACAACTATTTACCCAGCACTGACATTTTGTTAGGGATTGTAAGTCATCTAGAGATGGTTCAAAGTACAAAAGGGATGTGTATAGGTTATATGCAAATACTATACTATTTTATTTATGGGACTTAATTAAGCATCTGAGGATTTGGGTAGCTGGAGGAGGAGATCCTAGAACCACTCTCCCCCAAATACTGAGAGACAACTGTTATTAGGACCCAAGTAAGATCTGTAAGGGTTTTTGTTTTTGTTTTTTTAAATTCCTACTTTTAAGAAGTTCTAAGTATATTCTTATGACATTTGGATAAGATTTTAGATAAGGTTGTAGTGATGTTGAAGGATTTTTTTTTTTAATTTGAAAATTCTGAAATAAGCTTTATACACTCATTTGGGCTTTTTTGTCCTAGGAAATTTAACCTTCAATTTACTTGGGATTTTCTGATAATTGTATGGTAGGATGACAAAAATACTTATTTGATTTTGGATCAACTTTTAGGTAAAATTTTCAGGTAAAATTTTCTTTGCTTTGCTTTGTAAGGAAATGATAATAGCTTAATGCTTCCTTTGTCAAATATATTGTGATATTTTATTCACTCAGAAGTAATATCAGTAAAATTTTCTTAGAATTTTTTCATTAGAAAGAAAATGGAGTAGGTAGAAATAAATGTTTTAAGTTGTCAGTGAGACACCAACTCTCACATGTGTTACTCGAAGGTTGATCTGTCACATTATAATATTGTCTTATTTAATGCACCCAAAGAGTTTGTTACTTTGCTTTTACAAAAGTGAGTACTCCTGAAACATTTCTAATCCAGTATTCATTTGACTTGGGTCTTAAATCAGAACAGTTTAATGTGGAATTGAAAAGCCTTCTAATTATTATCTTTAAATTACTTAGAAAGAAATATATAAAATTAGACATTGTTTTAGAGCAATGAAATTTGGAATTTTTCCCCTAGAATTTTTATTTGAAATAATATACATACATGTGGACATTTGTGTATGTGTGGGGGTGTGTAGGCATATATATAACTTTAATAATTGTAATTGTTAAATTATTAATTGTGAAAAARTGAATTGTAATTAGTTTCTCTTTTTGTGAAAAAGGCTTATATATTAGGAAAGTAAAAACATCCTCAGAGTGGTGTTGATTCCTGTAACATTTTTGGTGTGTGTATCTTGCCCTGCTAATTAGAGGAGTTCAGTCCTAAGGTGACTTTATTTCTAGGGCATTCCTATTACTTAACCCCAAAGTGAAGCTAACTTAACACTCTTCATTTCTCTAACCCGTTTGATGATTTTCTTAACAGGAAACATTTTTGTGGGTTCCTGATATTTGTCCTGTTACTTCTGGGAGCTCTCCACACTATCTGTTCCTTAAAACAGGTGTCACAGTTTTTACTGTTCCTGTCTTACCAATAAAAGAATATACTCAATAAGTATTGTATGATCAGCCCTCCATTTCCACAGGTTCCGCATCCAGGGATTCAACCAATTTGTGTATCAGAAATACTCAAAACTGAAAATTACACTTGTACTGAATATGACAGACTTTTTTTCTTGTTATTATTCCCTAAATAATACAGGATGACAACTGTTTTCCCAGCACTTTAATTGTACTAGGTATTATAAGAAATCTAGAAATTATTTAAATTATGTGAGAGGATGTGCATAGGTTGTTTGCAAATACCGTTCCATTTTATATAAGGGACTTGAACATCTGTGAACTTTGATTTCTATGGGGAATTTGGAACCATAGATACCCAGGAGAACTGTCCTGTTTCTGGCAACTGACTAAGGAAGGCTAGCTCATTTCTTAGTGGGTATATTGTCTAATTCCAAATCATGGCCAAGAGGAGGATGGTATTGGTTAACAGTGATATTTAACAATTAGAGCAAAAAAAAATTTTTGGACCAGGAACTGTGCCAAGCATTTTAAAGCAATATCTCATTTAATTTATTACAAAGAATATGACTTACAAGGCTATTCTGCACATTTCAGCCACTTCCTGCTTTAGTACTTAGGTACTCTATTTCTGAGATATTAGAACAAAATATTCCTCTGCCTGGGAAATGTTTTTAAAAATCAAATTTTACCTCTCTGCTTTCTTGTGTTAATTCCTACTTATCTTTCATGTCAGATACCTTATCCTTTAGAATGCCCTTCTTAACTTTCAGATTCTGAGAGAAATCCTTTTGGCTTTGTTCTGTAGCACCTGTATACCCCCATTTTAGCATTTATTATGCTAAGTATTTGTTAGCAGAACATGTATGGACTGTGATTTTGATTAATGTGGTTTCTCTCTTGTTTATTGTTCTCATCCCCGAGGGCCTGGCATATGACTTGTATGCTTTCTACTAATATGAATGGTCATATTTAGTAGAATTGTATAGGAATTGGGCTTAGAACTCATGTTTAGTACTTTCAGGATTTATTCTTGAGTTGGAAAATGATGCACTATCCTCAGTAAAATGATTCAGCAATTTAAAATAAGGTACGATATTAAGTATCTTAATACTTTTATTAAAAACCTCTGTAAATAACAGAATATAATTTATATAAATAAATGCTTCAGAGACCAGGGTGGAATTACTGAAGATTCCTGTGATAAATATGATAGAAGTACATTCTAAAAAAAGTATTTGCTGTAGATGTTTATTGAATGGTTAGTCTAGGCCAAATACTTTGCTTAGAAATTTAYAAGTGTTATCTAATTTCACTCTTAAAAAACACTGTGGAAAGGGACTGGAGTCGTGGCTCAGTGCTTGCCTGGCATGTGTGAGACCCTGGGTTCAATCCTCGCACCACATATAAATAATGAAAGATCCATTGACAACTAAAAAATATTTTTAAAAAWTACTGTGGAAATAGTCATTACCACACTCTCTTTCTATAAACAAGGAAACTGAGGCTTGGAGCCGTTTAAAACTGGCTTAAACAGGGTTTAAACAAGGACACTGACTCAGAACCTGTGGCTGTTAACAACTTTGCTATGTTGCTTCCTATTGAATTTTCTCCCTRGGACAGAGACTGTGCCCTTCAAACCCAGCGGGTCCACAAAGGAACTCCTTGTCTAATGACTTCCTCTCCTCCTACTTTCTTATTTCATCCCCAGATTTCTACCTTGCACATCTTGAATCCGATCTCATACCTCATCCTGCTGATTTTATTTTCTAATTACCTCTCAGATTCACTCCTTTCTCTCCCTCCTTCCTTTTTATTGTAATTGCTTATCATTTCTCACTGGATTTAAAAGGTATTCTAATTGTCTTCTTTGTTTCCATTTTGTATCCTCCCACTTCTGTCCATTTCCCACACTGCTACCATAGTAATCTTTTTTCATTAGCAAATAAGAGAAAATAATGGTAATGAACACTTATATGCCCTCATATGTAGATACCTTTGTCAAATCTTAATGCTTTGCTATATTTCAGATCTGTGCATTTGGAAGTGGGGACTGGGGATTAAATTCAGGGGCACTTGACCACTGAGCCACATCCCCAGCCCTATTTTGTGTTTTATTTAGAGATAGGGTCTCACTGAGTTGTTTAGTGTCTCACTTTTTGGCTCAGGCTGGCTTTGAACTCATGATCCTCCTTTCTCAGCCTCCCAAGCTCCTGGGATTACAGGTGTGTGCCACCACGCCCATGCCCAGCCAGATCTGTGTATTTTTGAATTAAACATTAATGACCCTATTGCTGCTCTGATTGTTTTGCTTGTATATTGCCCAAAAGTAATAGCTATCCTAAATTTAGTGTTCTTCTCATCTATGATTTGTTCTTTATCCACATTTTTCGGTATTTTTATGAACAAAATATACTGTTACCTTTATGTAAAAGTATTGTGCAGTTTGGATCTTCAGAAACTTACCTTTTTTGAACAATATTGGTTTTGAGATTTGTCTACAATGATACTATGTAATTAGTTTATTTTAATTATTGAGTGGTATTACAGGGCATTATTATGCCATTATGTGGTCATTTTGTGTGTGTGGTGGTATTTGTTGGCTTATTGCCAGTTCTTTGAATTTCCCAAACTGTACCCAGTGAACCTTCTTGTATTTGGCTCCTCATGCATGTACAAGAGTTTTGTAATGATGACAGTGGATTGCAAGGCTGCAGACCACATACTATCATTTGTTTCTGGTCAGAGTACAAATTTTGGAAAACTATTTGATTATATCTATGAAAGCTGAACATATAGCCTACCTCATGACATCAGTTCTCCTCTTAAATGTTTACCTACAACAAATAGGAAATACGTCTACCAAATGTAAGAGTGTTCATAGCAGCTTC